TTTCAGAAAATTTAGTTTAAAGAAATAAAAATTTAAAGGATTTCTGTATAAAATTTTCTTTGGCCTAAGTTTTAGGTTAGGAAGAAGATATCGAGATGCGGTTTTCACGAGTTTGTTTAGACATCATTTAGCTACTTTTTCATAAAAAAATCATACCAATGCTTTTACTTTTTTTGAGAAAATTAACCATATATGTCAGAATGTCGAAAAAGCCCTCTAGCGGCCTCATGCCTCATGAGAAACTGACAGAATTTCAAATATTATAACATTTGTAGCTCAAGAATAGCTCTTTTCATTAGCTCAAGTTTGCTAAAATCGGCTCAGCCGTTTCGAAGCTACAGGGTGTTTTTTACGGAAACCTTTGAATACTCCCCATTACTTTATTTTTAGAGTTACAGCAAAAATTGTCAAACAAAAAAAGTTCACATGATCCTCGACTTTAAGGATCAGGTATTTTTTGTTAGGTTAATATAGCGAAATTCACAGAAACATCTTCACACTTCTTTAGATCAAACATTGCAGTTACGCCCCCTATTGGCCATTTCAGAATCTTGAAATTATTTTCCAGGTTTTACTCTTGACCGCTTTAGTAAGAACTTTTTTACAGTACCTCGCATTCTTGGCCTCTCCGTACATCACGAAAAACCATGTCACTCATTTCCATCGATCTGTCTGCCTGTCCATTGGTCCATACCTTGAGAAGTGCCACTCGGATTTCGAAGAAATTTTTAAACAACGTTCCTTTGAGAAGGACGCTAAAGCTTTGTAGTTTTTGGAAATCGTCCAGTGGCGGCAGTGAAAAATGCCTAAAACGAAAAAATAAAAATCGCCCAAACTTTGTTTTATTTTTGTCATTCCAGAGAATTATTGAAAAAAAAAATGTGGAGGTCAAATACTTGACGGTGGGGGTTATAAGGGGATGGGGAGGGTTTATCTCAATTTTTTGATGCCGGTACATTTATACGCCTCCAAAATTTGTAATTTTACGCACCTATTGGTTATATGGTATTTCACAGATCAGAGATTTGTCGTACGTTAGCCTTGAAAAAAAATATTTTCGGGAGACGAATCGCGTACCTATCGGCTGCTGCTGCTGTTGACACATATGATCTTTCTTCAATTGTTTTCCTTCGATGCGCCATTTTTGAGTGAAAAAATAAAAACCGTTCTATTGTCCGAGAAAATTAATGTAATAATTGAAGAATGCAATTTAGCAATAAATATCTAGTTGCTCTGGAATATGTCACTAGCTTTTGACATCTGACAAGTCTCTATTATTCAAATCTGTTCTCTATGACATATTTTTCATTATTTAGTTTTTGCAATCTTGTTAATAATGGTGAATTACACTGATCAACAGCCAAAAAATATCCTAAATTAAATCAACAAAATATTACTATATTTAATGTGCTAAAACCGGAATGAAACTTATTTTTTCAATATTATTTCAAGTTTTAGAGATACCGTAATTATATGTGTTCCTGCTGTGACAGTGTTAATATACTGTAATTCACAAGAAAGCACGTGCTACATTTTTATATTCGGCAAGGAAAGATGATGTAATCGGCATGATTGTGTTACGTTATACATACGTGTACATTATATTGTTTTATATTAGCCATTTTTTCCTCAGTTGGCTGACAGCGTTCATGCAAGATGTCTCGAAAGTGTGTAAACAATCCAGATCAGTTTTGTTACGTGTGTGGTGATGTGACTTTTGCGTCTCAGAGACGGTCTATTACTCCACTAATAACAAAGGCATATCAGCTTTATTTCGGTTGTAAACTAGGTGATCAAGGCAAACAGTGGGCACCCCACATCTGCTGTAATACATGTGCTTCAAGTCTGAGGAGCTGGTTAAATGGCAAAAAACGGTCTATGGGCTTTGCTGTCCCAATGGTTTGGAGAGAGCCTACAAATCATATTAGTGATTGTTACTTTTGCATGGTACCTTGTGTTGGACAAGCCACAGGTATGTCCAAGAAAAAAAAATCGGTTATTAACTACCCAAACATACCATCTGCGATGAGACCTGTGCCTCACAGTGACGAAAATCCTATTCCAAAACCCCCAGAATCCTACACTTGCGAATCAGATCATGGCGATCGAGTGATTCGTCAGGAAGAAGATATGCCATCAACGTCAAGAAATCCTGATTTTATACCGAGCACGCCATGCCACCAACCGCACAAAATAACACAGTCAGAATTAAATGATCTTGTAAGAGATTTAGAACTTCCAAAATGTAAGGCAGAGTTACTTTGATCAAGACTGTGGAACTTGTTAGAAGACGATGTTTCGGTATGTGTTTTTCGTAAACGCTACAAAGACTAAGAACCATTTTTCAATATGGAGAATAACTTGGTTTTCTGCAGTAACATTAACGGCTTACTGGCGGCTTTAAATATAGACTATAACCCAGAAGAATGGAGATTGTTTATAGACAGTTCAATATTGACTTTAAAGGCAGTGTTATTGCATATTGGAAATATTTTACCATCTCTTCCTGTAGGGTATGCAGTTCACATGAAAGAATCATATGGCAATATGAAGTACCTATTGACATGCATAAAATACGATGAGCACCGCAAAGGCACTTCATTACACCAGACAAAACTGGCCTGTGTCAATTCCTAGAGCCAGGTCAAAAAAATGTACAGCATATGCCATTAGTAGATTCGAAAAAAATTTTATTACCACCACTGCATATCAAGTTGGGTCTAATGAAAAACTTTGTCAATTCATTAGATAGAGATGGGTCAACTTTTCAATACCTGCGTCAGAAATTTCCAAGACTAAGTGAGGCAAAGGTTAAAGAAGGTATTTTTGTTGGGCCACAGATTCGAAATATTTTGAAAGATACACAGTTTGAAAACACTTTGACAGGTATTGAGAAAACTGCTTGGAATGATTTCCGTCTGGTGGTCACTAATTTCTTGGGAAATAGAAAAGCTGACAACTATAAAACCCTTGTCAAAAAGATGATGTCATCGTATTTAAAGATGGGCTGTAATATGTCTCTTAAGATACATTTCCTACACTCACACCTGGACTTTTTTCCTGACAATTGCGGAGCCGTAAGTGATGAGCACGGCGAACGTTTTCATCAGGATATTTCAACAATGGAAAAAAGGTACCAGGGAAAGTGGAATCCTTCCATGCTTGCAGACTACTGTTGGACTCTTGGAAGAGATGCTCCAGAAACGATCCATAAAAGAACAGCAAAAAGACAGCGCATATAGTGATTCTTATAAGTATATGAATCTTGTTACATTTTTTAATATATCCTTAAAAATAAAAAGTTTTTTTTCTAAACCGCAACTAATTTTTTTATTTCATTGTCATTTTTGGATTCAGCGCCCCAAAATTAACAAAGAAGTGCACTTTTCCCACAAGATACAATTAAAAAACTAAAATTTGTTGTCCAGTGTTATTCAAATGCAGAAATGGCGGAAATGCATTACGTATATGGCCTTGCCGACGTTAATGGTGAGCAAGCCGGACGGATTTATTACCAGAGATATCCCGATCGTGCTTTGCGAGATTCTTGAACCTTTTTCGTCTTGTTGAAACGAGTTCTGTCCGAAAAGGAACATCTGAAGGTATACCTGAAATTGAGGAAGCAGTGCTGCACGAAGTCGAAGAACATCCTGCAACGAGTACGAGAAGATCGCTAGACACTTAAATATTTGCCATTAAATTGTTTGGAGAATTTTAGTGGATTTTTTGTTATATCCTTACCATATTTTAAGAGTAAAGGCATTACTTCCCATCATTTTTCCAAGACGTGTGACCTTTTGTCAGTGGTATCTTCCAAAAATTACACAAAATCCGCAAGTTGCATCAATGATTCTGTTCACGGACGAAGCTAATTTTTCTCGAAATGCCATTCAGAATTTCCACAATAATCATTTGTGGGCAGAAGAAAATCCCTATGGCGTAACCAAAACCCATTTCCAACACCAATTTCCGGTTAACGTATGGGCAGGAATTATTGGCAACCACTTTATTGGCCCATTCTTCTTACCGGGACGATTTGACGGACAGACTTACCTCACTTTTTTTTAAACAACAGTTGCCTTACATGCATGATGGTACACCAGCGCATTTCAGTGTAGCGGTTAGTAATTATTTACAAACTGTTTATCCAAATCGTTGGATTGGCCGCGGTGAGCCCCAAGAATGGCCACCAAGGAACCCAGACCTCAACAGTTTAGATTTCTTTTTGTGGGGCTATCTTAAGACACTAGTGTACACAAGTCCCATTAACACTGTAGAGGAATTAAGAGAAAGAATAGTTGCAGCTTGTGATAGAATAAAAACGGATATTTCAACGAGTGCGCAATTCCATGAGAGGGAGGGCGGAAGCATGTATATGTTTATGTTGTCAGTTGTTGTTGTTCATTACCCCTAATGTGTTTAATTTTTCCAATTAAATTAATAATAGTTTTGCAAGTTAGACTATAGAACGGCTTTTACTTTTTTACTCAAAAATGCCGAAGGAAAACAATTCAAGAGAGATCATTTGTTTTAAATTGAACGGGGTATTCAAAAACAATTTTTATTTGGCAAAAAATTATTGGCGTACCATTTTGTTCTTAAAAATGTCGAAGTCAATACTCGTATGCACGTCACTGTTAAAGCTAAAAATTATTTTTGCATTGAAAAATATGCAAATTTATTAAGTTTCACTACAGACTGAATATCAGTGAAATATCTGAAGCGGTTCTGAATATATTAATTAATTTCAAACTAAAATTAATTTTTCATGTAGATTCACACCCTTAAATATTCGCATATCATTAAGGAACACCCTGTATATGTTTCAGACAAACCATCTCATAATTTCTGTTATATTTTTTTATATTCTTATAGGCCTGTCTGTTGATCTTCCCATGTGTCAGTATATCACTATCTACAAAACATCCCTCAAACTTGGTCGCTTTTGCTATTGTTCTAGTAGTATGAAATCAAGAAACAATTGATAAATTTTATTTCAGGCACACTGCGATGTTTTCATCTTATCAGTACTTACGAAAAGTATTTCCGTTCCTACACTGGTCTAAGCAATACGATCTCGATAAAGCTATATGTGATTTAGTTGCCGGAATCACTATAGGACTTACCCTCATTCCACAATCCTTAGCTTACGCATCTTTGGCTGGACTCGAACCTCAGGTAATTCATAGTCCATAGCCGTTTTTGGTGTATGAGATAGTCTCGTTAGATTAAGGAAAGCAAGTTAGCGCTTCATATTTTCCATGTACGTTTTTATAGAGAATACACAGGGTGTCCTACTATAAATTAACCCCCTTTTAACTTTATTGTGTAGCCAAAATGTTTTACGTACAATATTTTTTTTATATCAGAAAAATGCTATCGAATACACATACATTTTATACTTTTTTAACCCGTATCCTGTATAAAACTAAATGTCTTTTTATTTTTAGTATGGATTATACTCATCGCTCTGTGGAGGGATCATATATTTGCTGTTCGGAACGATTCCAGAATTAAGCATCGCACCAACAGCGATTCTATCACTGCTAACATATTCCTACACCAAAAACGTCACTTTCGGTAACATCGAAGCAGCAATTTTACTATGTTTTTTCGGAGGGGTCATCGAACTACTATGTGGATTACTGCACTTAGGTAAATCAAAAAGAAATAAGAATCTATTACTTCAAACCACATACATATTTTGTAATCCGGAATCATTGAAATCATTCAAGGGCGCATAATCAACAGTGTTTCCAAACCTACAATACTAACCTTGCTTAGTGTTAATCACATGCGTATCTACGATAAATACGCATACATACTTTACTTTGCAAGTTAGCATCTGTTGACGAAAGTGTCAACTTCAAGGATCAGTTTCAGGTCTGGTCCGTTATTATTTACTGTATAATAGTCACTTATACAGGGTGTTCATTTGAAAACTTCCCACCACCATATAATCGAAAACCACGGATTAAAAGAAAAAACGCCGAGACACATAAGAAGATTTGTCAAAAGGGACAACTTTTTAACGAAAAATTACTTCACCCCCTTTCACCCTCGCCCCCCCAGTATCATTCTCTTAAAAATTTTAAATGATAAGGTGTATCAAGTAATAGCTTGTTTGAAATTTCTTCCGAAGTCCTTTATTTTGATGTTTAATTTTTTAAAATGACTCGATTCGTTTTCGAGAAAATTAGAAAAATCTTTATTTAAGTTGTTCAGATAGAATAAAAACTCATGAAAATATCACTTTTTATTTCAATAAGTGTTCAAAATGTTGCCAGTTATTGTTTGTCAAATCTACAGTTCGTTTATAATTTAAAACGGAAACTACCAAAATGAACAGCAATTCAGAAGATTAGACGTGGCATCAACTAAATAACAACCCGAATTTTTTTCCGCATCCTTTTCTCAACACAGATATCCACAGATATCTAAGGGAAAGAAATAATTTAATTTGGTGTCAGTTACCTTTGTGACTATCTTGGGATAGTGAAAATTAATTTATCGATTCAGATTTTAGTTACAAAATGGTTTACACACTAGTCAAAAGAGTGGAAATCATTCTAATTTATGGTGCCCAAAATCAAGGTGCTCTTCAAACTGCCGACACGTTTAACGCCAGACATCCAGAGAAGATTACTTCCCATAGGTATGTTTTCGACCTTGTTACTGAATTAACTCAAACTGGATCTGTTGCAAATAAAAAACATGATCATCGAAGAGTTTTGGATGAAGCCGCTCAAGTTGAAGTTTTGGGTTATTCTGGAATAAATCCTAATACTTCATTACGCAAAATTGTTGCTGCGACTGGTATTTCATTAGGCTCTGTACACACAGTTACTAAACTCCATAAATTTCATCCATTCAAAATGAAAATATTGCAAGGGTTAACCGAAGATGATTTCGATAGGCGAGTTCAGTTTTGTGAACAAATGACTGCAGCGATTAATGATAAAACCACTCATGTAAAGAATATCTGCTTCAGTGATGAATGCACATTTTATCTAAATGGATTTGTTAATAAGCATAATTGCAGGTATTGGAGCAATGAAAATCCTCATGCTTTTGTAGAAGGTCATACCCAGTACCCCCGAAAAATTAATGTATGGGTAGGCATTTTAGGAAACAAAGTGATTGGGCCATTGTTTATTAACGGAAATTTGAATGGAGACATTTATTTTGATATGTTGGAAAATACCATCAATCCGACGACGAGTTTCCAGATAAATGGATAGGGCAAAGAGGGCCTACAGAATGGCCTGCTAGATCTCCTGATTAAATGCCATTAGACTTTTTTCTATGGGGCCATTTGAAATCTATTGTGTTTACTTTAACGGGCAACATTTTGAACACTTATTGAAATGAAAGTGATATTTTCGTGTGTTTTTTGTTTTCTATCCGAACAAATTAAGATCAATAAAGATTTTTCTAATTTTCTTGAAAACCAACCGACCGATTTTAAAAAATCAAACGTCAAAATGTAGGAGTTCCAAAGACCTTTTAAACAAGCTGTTACTCGATACCCCTTGTTACTTAAAATTGTTAAGGGAATGACTCTGGGGGCAGAGGATGACAAGGGGTGAAGTAGTTTTAGGTTAAGAAGTTGTCCCCCTTGACAGATCTTTTGATGTGTCTCGACATTTTTTATTTTAATCAGTGATTTTCGATAAATCCGTGGTGAGAAATTTTCAAATGAACACCCTGTATATAAAAGTATTGACTATTGTGTGGCGAAGATTACACAGGGTGACAAAAGTGAGCTCCACCCTTTTAGCCAGAAATCAGAGTATACTTTCCCGAACATTTTAAAGGCGCTAAATCCGAACCCGTTTTCCAAATCTCTCAATTGGCTTCAGTTTCAGAGACAACCTAATCAAAAGATGCAAAGGTACCGATTTTTGCCTATATTTGAGTTTATGTAGCATTACCAATTACTTCTTTTAAAACCATATATGTATATCATCTCAAAGTACTAGTTTTGCCCTTTTAACCGCAGTTGAGTTTGCTTAAACATCTTTATCTATGGTTCAGCTTTTATGAGAAGAAAGTAGATTAGATTAGATTGGATCACAAAAGAAAGGGGTTGGCATGCCAGCTTTAACGTCACTGCTACCTAAATGGAACTATTGTGACCCCCATATAAACTTTCTAAAGTACTGTCTCCAGCCTTGAACCTTTAGACTCCATAGCCTTGACATAGAACCTTGCATGTCGCTTTCCGCAGTTGTATTTGTTATTCCTTCTATCTGCAACCTTGTCTTCGGAGGTACAAAGGAGATGAACTAGCGGCTCTCTGCAAAAACGGCAGACCGAAGAGCCTCATATGTCGATTTAGACGACAGAGTCCTGTCAGGAGGACCCACTATGGTCCGTATGGCCTTCCTATTAAATCCGCGTAGGTCCTCTGTAAGGGCAGGCTTCGTTCTTTGATGAACTGTTTTGCCTGCCTTTGTCCTAATTGGCTATTCCACCTCTAAAGCTTTTTCTTGGTCCAATTTTTATGGGCTGTTTATTAGTGCGTGATATTTTCACATAACAAAAAGGCGATTGGCTACAGCCTGTCGGGCTAGCTCGTCCGCCTTTTCATTTCCTTTGTGCCCGTCGTGTCCTGGTAACCAGAGCAATGTTACCTTTTTTAGGTTTTCTTTGCGAGTGTTCACACAATCCCCTACTAGTTAGAAATTAACTTCTTATTTTAAATAATAATAATAATAATAAAAAATGTCTTTATTATCAACACAATAATAGGGCGAAGTTTAGCCAGTTGGCTACTCTTACACCCAACCCTGTGTGATTAAATATGTATATGTTACTTGTAAAGATAGAATAATGATTAAACTTAGGTTTACCCGGGTAAACTGCACAATACCCAGACAACATGGGTAAAGTCCAAAATATTACTGAAATTGTTTCGGACTTTACCCGGGTAAACCGCGTTCTATCCACTTTCGTGTGGTTAATGTTAAAGAATAAAGCCATAAATTCTTTCGATAGTTCCTCTCTTGTTTGCTAGCTTATAAAAATCGTCGTCAGTTTTTTCGATTACTGTCATGAGAATATTTCTAAAATCATCCCTCCCTCTATCAACGTCTGGAATTTTCACTCTCACTGTATCTCCAACACAACATGGCGGAAACTTTGAATTAGACAAAGCTTTTACTTTCTTTGCTTGATTTTCTAAATTTCGTTTTGCCTCTAGTCTGTTTAACCGTATGTTTTTTTGGCACAAACAAAGTTCACAACATATATTCCCTGGTGTACTTGGTTTGTCACACTCTGAACATTTCCCCTGATTATCTGAAGTTTCCATATAACCAGCGTTTTCTCTATAATTATTGTTGATATTTTGCATATTTCCATCTTCACTAATATTTTCTTGCATGTTATCTGTTTCTGGGTTACTGTCCATAGATTGGTCTTCATTTTGTTCTTCAAGAAGCTCTTCACCTACACCAAATTCCTCCATAACTTTCTCGAGCTCTTCTTCGGTTCGTAGATTTTCAATAGCTTCTTTTGGAAACGCTGATGTGGACAGGCCGACTTTAATATCATGCCCAAACATGGCAGCATAAGGAGCTTGTTTTATCCCGTCATGGTATGCCCTATTTTTCATTAACTGGACAAATCTTATACCTTCTGACCATCGCCTGCAGTTTTCATCATCCATCCACGTCATAAGCATATATTGTATATCTTGATTTGCTCTTTCCACGCTGCCTTGTGACTGACTATGACGTGGTTTGCCATGGACTATTTTAACTAACTAACTAACTCTTCAATGACACGGTTGGCCAACTCACGGCCGTTGTCCAATTGTAGTATGGATGGGGCGCCGAAAATACAAAATATGTCTATCAGGCCCTTAGCTACTTCCTCAGCCCTTTTCGATGTTAATGCACGTATTTGAACAAACTTAGTTAAATGGTCCGGATACACCATGATAAATTTATATTCTCCATCTGCATGTGATCGCATGTCAATCAGGTCCACTTGACATCGGCTGTTCATCTTCGAAAAAACCAACGGTTTTACCACAAGTCCTTTTTTGGCAGATTTAAGTTTATTTTGGCACCCTTCACACAAGCGCAGATATAACTTAATAACATCTTGAGTTATATTCTTGTACTTTTTTTTACATTCACTTTACTTACGATGTTTTCCCCCATGTCCTATAGCTAAATGTGCATCGTGCAAAATGTCAAACATTTCGTCGTTTGTAACATAATATTTTATGCTAGATTCACCTTATGATTCACGAGCAATAAGCTTTTCAACGCCTCTCACAGAACATATGTCAAACCTCTTTAACCGTCGATATTGTAGAGTAGTCTTAGTTTTAGCATTTTTTTGCCAACTTGACTGATTCTAACATTTCTTGGTATTGTTCAATATTAAAATAAAAACTGTTTGCACTTTTTGAAGACGCCAACTCATTGAAAACTTCATAAAAACGCTGTGCTAAACGCGCGCGTCCGCTTTCTTCGGTTGCCCTTTTAGAACTGCACGTGGTGAAAGATGATGCAATAATAATTTCTACTTTACCCGGGTAAAGTTCGAAATATGTAAAATTTCAGTACTATTTTGGACATTAACCACTTTTTCTGGGTATTGTGTAGTTTGCCCTGGTAAACCTAAGTTTAATCATTATTATACCTTTACCTGTAAGATATATGCAATTCAAAGTCACATACATGCAACCTGAAAATAAATAATACATCGATCTGGCTTTCAACTAAGTGAGCTAATCATAAAGGGAAAAAATACAATCAATTGATTAATCCGCGCTATATTGGTTTACCAAAAAGGAAGCAGTCAAGAACCAATACTGAACGGATGACAACAAAAAAATAAAAACATAAAGATAATAACAACTAATTATGATACATGTAACAGCTGATTTTTAACCAGCTTCCTGAATGTTACTACACTTTTGCTTCTCCAGGCAGGGTCGGTTGAGTTGTATAACCTCACAGCATTGAAAGTGAAACATTTTTGAAACAATGCGGTGTAGTGCAAAGGCATTGTCAGATTATTATTATGCCTTAGATCTCTAAGATTAATGATTCCTTTAGTTACCAATTTACTATGGAGGTAGATGGGCTTTTTAGTACTCAACATCTTATGCACAAATACCTTAAGACTATATTCAAATTGTTGATCCATGTTCAGCCATTTCAAGTCCTTGATGATAGAGGAGACATGACTATATAATCGAAGACCATACACAAACCTACAGTAGTTGTGTTGCATTCTTTGGATCCTACACCGATTCATCGAGTCAAAACAAGGATAGTATAAGGTTAAAGCGTAGTTGAGGGTGGACAGCAAACTTTCAACTAGCTTCTTACGCGTTTTAAAGTTCAAAATGAATATATCAGCATAAAGCAGTCTTAACTTGATGTAGGTGGACTTCGATAGATGACGCATGTTTGTCAAATCTTAAACTAGAGTCGAAGATGACACCAAGATTTTTTGCTTGTTCCACAATAGGAATGAACTCGTTGTTGATGCTCAATGCAATTCTGTCCCTTACTCTATTATGCGAATCTTTAGGATAAAAAAGTACGCAAGTAATCTTATCCGGATTAATCTTCAACATGTGTCTTTTACAAAAATCAGTCATGTTGACAATATCACAATTTATCTTATATGACACTTCATCCAGATCAGACAAGTCAAAATGAAAAGCACAATGCTCAATACATGAATGTAAATCAAACGTATACATCAAATACAGTAAAGGACCTAAGACAGAGCCCCGAGGGACACCTGAAGAAACGGCAACAGGAGATGGGACACCTCTAACTGTTTTCACCTTTTGTTTATGATTTGTTAAGTGATTTTCAAAAAATTTAAGCGGAATGTCAGAAAGTCCAACATATTTTAACTTACTCAACAAAATTTTATGGTTAACAGTGTCGAACGCCTTAGAGAAGTCAACCAAAACTAAAACTGTATTGATATGTTTATCCATATTATTTAAGATATTGTCTGTCAAATGGAGAAGTGAAGAAGTTGTACTGTGTCCAGCACGAAATCGAGACTGATGGGCAGGAAGTAAATTGTTCATCTCTACATATTCAATTAGTTGCAGATAAATAGCTTTTACTAATATCTTTGAAAAGAAACACAGTATGCTGACGGGTCGTAAATGATCAGGAGTTATGGGATTTTTTACTTTGGCTAGAGGAAGAATTATTGCTTCTTTCCAGACATTAGGAAAGCTCCCAGTTTCCAAACATATACATATTAACAATATGAGTTAGATACTGAAGTACTTCAGGTAAACAAAGACCAAACATGCCCAAACCAATACCATCACAGCCTATTGCAGTCGGATTTATAGAGACAGAAATATCTAGGATCTCCTGAACACTTAAATGTCTGAACACAGATAGTGTTAAATTAGCATCGAATAAATTCTGTTGATAAAACTCAGCTGGAGCATCAATTAAACGGGAATGGGTATGGGTATTTTGAAAATTTAATAAAAAGTTCGTTTGGTTCTAATAAATTTAATGGAATCTCAGTATGTTCCTGAGGACAAACGTTCATCATCCTAAGTTGATCCCAGGCTTTCTTCGAATTGAATTTATCAAACCGTGACAGATAGGCCTTTTTTCGCGTCTAAAAGAGGCAAGTGCAAAATTCCTCATATCTTTATAAATTTGCCAATTACAATCGGAAGGATTCTGGTGAAATGTAGCTACACTAAAAATGGCTTTCAGCGCAAATGTTAGCTAAGGGGCAGGTTTCTTTGTTACGCGTGCTGTCCGAATTGGAGCATGGTAATCAAACAGTTGGAGTAATGTCTCTCTATAAGTATATTAACTTTTTGGTTAACATCACAGACATAGAATATTCTGTGTAAGTCTGTCATCGCTAAATCCCCCTTCATCTGGGCAATATGCATATTTTTGTAATCCCCTGTAAGTTACAAATTTATCTTCGGCGTGTTTGATTCTTACATTTAATTCGCAAAAAACTAATCTATGATCGGAAATGAAGTCAGCATTCATTGTACCAGAATTCAAAATGCTATCTACATCACTAACAGATAATTACATCAATCAAGGTGGAAAAATCACTTGTGCATATTGAAAGTAGGAATGTTAAATTCCGCCTTGATGGGGTAGGGTAAGTTTTAGATATTTTATGTATTTAGTGTTGAGGATTAATGGGTATTTTAGTGGGCAGGTCTTAGTTCATGAAAATAACTTAAGCTGCTATTATTTTTTTGGTGTATTATAATCCAACCCACAACTTTGTTGCACTCATGATCATAACGTGTGGAGTATAGAATACAGTGAAATTTAGAATAACGAAAATTTGAATGTGACATATCTCAGCAAAAAAAAAAGATATTTGAGGAAGCTCAACTGCATTTAAAAGAGCAAGGCTTGTACTTTGTGAGATGATGTCTATGATTAAAAAAAATCGCCATGCTACATAAACTTTGCATCAGAATATCTCGAAAACTAGAGCTAATTGATAGATTTGGACCACGGATTTGGGTAAAAATATTGTCGGTCTGTGTTATTAATCTTAATTTTACAGGATTTTTGGTGGATTTCGTTTCGACACCTGTCGTGGCAGCTTTCACATCTGCAGGTGCCATAACGATAGCTTCATCCCAAGTAAAAAATTTGATAGGAGTCCACATAGGAGGCGGTGAGACATTCTTCGAAATATGGAAAAAACTTTTCGAACACATCGGGAACTTCAAGAAATGGGACACTATTTTGGGACTCTCCTGTTGTGCTCTTCTTTTGCTTATGAGGGTAATATCAAAGACATTTTATATTACAAAGAAGTCGCCCTATAGAGAACTAGCAACTTGAGTTTCGACATTTCTCAGATACGCATTAATTATTTTTAGATGCATCCATTTAGATAAATTCGCACATGTTTAAGGTACCCATAACACTCAATACATCTAAGAGCATTCAATCATTTGTCGGATTATAGAGCACTGCCTAAGACCCCCTATAGTCCGGAATTTTTTACAAAAGAGTACCTTATAATCCGACAAATTACATCTCCAATGGTAAGATTATATATGTTATGTATATGTATGTACTTTGAAGTACAAATCATACATAGTTTATGTATGTCGAATTTAGTAAACTAAATAACAATAGAGAACTTACGTTTTATTACAAAATTAAGCATAAATGCACATACATATGTACCAAAATAATCAAGAATTATTAATCAAAATCATTAATAAATTTATCAAATTATGAAGCTTGGAAATATTCATCAATTTTTGTTTGTTTAAGGTTGTTATAACGCGAGATCAGAGCTTTGTCCCTCAGTCTTCTCAAAAGTAAAACTTCGTTGTAGGATGTACCATCTTCAGCCCACTGTAAACCTAGCTCAAAGGCGTTAATTGCGTCTTGTGCTGTGACTTGTGGAGCAGTTGCAATCACGTCGTCGTAATTTTCCTGATTGTTTGTTGTATAATTAGAAACCTCTTTTATAATCTCGTCGTCAGACATTTAATGAAAAACATTTTCCTCTTTATCCATTCCACGGCACCAGATTTCCAAATCTTCCGGACTTATCTGTGTTTCAGTAGCGACTTGTTCTATAACTTCCGAAATACATTGATTTGTGGAACGTTGCTAGGAGTGGTGACTATATCCGGCCATAACTTTTTCCAAGACGATTTAATAGTTGATGACGGTAATGCATTCCACGACTGACAAAGAGCAAAAACCAAGTCTTTCATATTAAATTCTTTTAAAGTTTTTCTATTGGTTGGTCTTGTGATACGGCTCTCAGAAGTAGGTTTTTCTTATAGTCTTGCTTGACAAACTGAATGATATTCTGGTCTATTGCTTGAATCAGTGCACTGCAATTTGGCGGAAGAAACATCACAGTGATGCATTTATCCTGAGTTGTTAGTTCTTCTTCAGACGGATGACCGGGAGCGTTATCTAGAAGCAACAACGCTTTTTCAGGAAAATTATGATCTTTTAACCATTTTCTAACTTTTTGTCTGTAATACTGTACAGGTAAATCAATGTTTTGAATGCCCGGGATTTATTAGATTTGCCAATGACCATCATCTTAAGCGCATGTGAGCCCGCAGCGTTAGCACATGCTAGTATGGTTACACGCTCTTTACTTACTTTTCGTCCAGGTTCGGATTTTTCGTTACATGAAACGAAAGTTTTGTTACGCATCACACTCAAAAAAAGCCCTGATTCGTCTGCATTGTACACCTGTGACGGGTCAAGATTTAAATCGTTCACCTTTTGCAAAAATCTTAATTTAAAGGGCTCTATGCAGGTGGCATCGTTAGAAACTTTCTCTCCTGTAATAGTCATTAAACGTATGCCATGACGACTTTTAAAACATTTTACCCATCCTTTGCTGGCCACAAAATCATCTTTTTTTGTTATTTCCTTATAAAAAAACTTAGCTTTCATGGCCAACATGGGTCCTGAAATTGGTGCATGCCTATTTCTTTCCTGAAGAAACCACATGTGCAAAGCTTCTTCCACTTCTGGATGTTCAGCTTTCTTGAGTATCTGTCTCTTGCCTGGCCCGCAGTCAGTAGTTGACACGAACTTCTTGATCTTCTCGTGGTTTCTTTTAATATCATAAATTGTAGATCGGCCTACGCCGTATTCACTTGCTAAACTACTGAAAGTTTCATTGCGATTTAAGCGGTCTAAAATATCACATTTTTCTTTAATTGTCAATGTTTTGTGCTTTCGCTTCTGAGTTCGAGATGACATTACTAGGTACTATACTTAATACACAATGAATAAATAGTAAACAATGAACGCACGCTAGGCCGTACCGCTATCACAAGTAGTCAAATTCAAACTAAGTAAAACAATGCTTACGCGTCGAGCACGATAGCGGTGGTGCGTACAAGTTGTAACCTGTTCAAACCTGCGTGATTTACATTAGCGAAATTTGTCAAATACGTATGTAATATTCAAAGACATGTCGGATTACAGGGAGCGCCGGATTAGACAGGGGCTGGATTATCGGGGGTCCACTGTATAGCAGAAAAGAATATACTTTTTCTTTTCACAATCGCTTAAGTGTGTTACGTTTTGCAAGTTGAGCGAATTAGCTGGAAATTTCGACAAAAATTTACCACAACTATTTTTCTGAAATCATTCACTTTTAACAGATTTCCTGCAATTGGATTTGAGGTCTAAAGAAACATAGTTTCCTGTTACAAAGTTGCCGACGTTTCGGAAAAATGTACTTCCTTCTTTAGGGCTCCGTTTAGTCGAAACTGTAGGGGTCAAAAAATAATCCAATGTTATGCACATCTTAGATATTATCATTTAGACTGCAACTTTTCCATATGACAACGAAATACTGTTATATACTGAATGACAAAAAAGGTAAACACCTACGTATGTTTATCGGATTTTAATAATTTTTGGCATATCTATATGTTCAGTGTCCATTACTAGTTAAATGATTGAATTTTCAGCTTCATTCGTCAACTAACTGCAGAAGCTGGTTCAATAATGTGTTGAGGATCCACGAATAAGAGCTGCTAAAGTCTGTGGAGGGTGTTGCAAATACAAGAGCCCGCGACCTATCATGTCCCAGACATGTTCAATTGGAGATAGGTCAAGCAATCGTGGTGGCCAAGGTAAACGGTTGATGCGATGTTGATCCATGAATGCTAACGATGCTCTGGCAACATAAGGTCTGACATTGTCTTGCTGAAAAATCGGGTTTTGGATGTTGTTTAGGTATGGAATAAGATGAGGCTCCACTACTTCCTGAATATAGTGTCGGGCTGTCATGTTGCCTCTGAATTAGTGGTGATCTGCTACCATAGCAATAGCATCCCATACCATAACTCCCACGGTGTGGTGAACGCGACGCTCTCTGTCAAATTGTGGGTCACATCTTTCACCACGTCGCCTGCTCACTCTTGCCCGACCATAGTGCATCCCCAGTCAGAAGCGGGATTCGTCCCTAAAGATCACCTGATTCCATTCCCGGCCCCATAGAATTCTTTCTCTACACAAGAGCAAACGGTTCCGCCGATGTTCAGCTGTGAGAGGTAGCATCCAATGCGAGTGCTAAGAAAAAAGATCAAACTGTCGTATTTGGCGATATACCAACCATTCTTCCATGCTCTTCAAAACATTGATTTTCGCGATGGCTCGAGTACTACTGAATCCAGTGCCGGATGCTCCGCTGTTCGATTTTCGTCCGCCGGCGCGCATGACGTCACGCAGAGAGTGACTCTCATTTACATTGATATGGATAACGTGCATATTTTCACCTACAGGCCAAACGGCTGGACGGATTTTCACATAATGAGGTGTCGTTGGATTCGTCTTAGCGGTGCGAGTGACTCTAGCTACAGTGAAATTTTATAAAAAACATAAGATTTCAACCTTGTAATTCCTATTTCATAGGCTACAGCTCAAACGGCTTGATAGATTTTCACATATGAGGTGTCGTTGGATTCGTCTTAGCGATGCGAGTGACACAATTTACATTAAAATTTTATACAAAACAAAATAGCGGATTTAAATAAAAGATTTCAACCTTGTAATTCCTATCTCACAGGCTATAGCTTAAACGGCTTTCTAGCTCCACAATAGAGCGAGTATCGTCACTTTACTGTAAAAACAAGATTTTTCTACATTACCTATATTTTAGTATGTTCTGTGGAGCGGGATTAACATGTTCATGATGTTAATACTGCCCTACATTTATTCATCCTTATTTCACAGAACATCCTAAGTACTAACTACATGCAAGTGTGAAAATGTACGCAACTCGAAAAGTAGAAAAATGGAGTTATCATGTTTTTGCAGCAAGCTGGCGGTATAACAATAAATGGAAATGACTTAGTCTAAGCCACAATTTTTCTCCATTTCCTTTTACGATTTTTCTGGTCTTTCAAGCTTTTATTCAGTTATTTGATCCGGAAGAACATCCTTGACCTGAAAAATAGTTTCTTAGCTTTTTCAGGGCAGTCAATGTTGCTGCTCTTCAACAGAAGTTCAGCTATAAAATTTTGCTTTTCTGTCACTATTCCGTCCCCATTGAATGTATTAAACACCTTATTAAGCTTCTCAATTTGATTCATGAAAGCTGTGGAAGGCTTTGATAATCCACTCTCACTAAGATGGTCTATCCAGGAATAAGTTTCATTTGAGAAACTTTTCAACCTCTCATCCTGCAATTTATCACAAACAAAGCCGGCCAAATTTTTCAGCCCATCATACTCGAGCTCATCTATTTTCTCCACTAAAACTTCCTCATTATAGTCAGCTGATTCTTGCATTCAGTTTATTCGTTAATGATGCAGTTAGTGGAATTTCCGGAGTATCCTCTTCCTCTACGCTGCAATACTCTGAGTATGCGCCTTCGTTTCGCCCCAAAATATATGACCTTATTCTATACTTAAACTCTAGGGGATAAGTTTGAACCCTTTGCCTTTTTTCGTAAGCACTTTTCCGCGTTTCCCCATCAACAGATGTAGATGGTCCTGGTGATGATAGAGACTTGGGTAAATTTTCCATAGGAATGGTATCATCTTTTAGAGCACGATCTCTTTTAGAGGTGTAACCCAGAAGGGTATGTTTCAAATTGTTCTTATAGGCACTTTCACTAAAGTGCTTCAAGCAAACCCTAGCGCTTTTTACATTGACTTTGATTTTTCTTTTTGTATGATGTAGCCATTTTTTGCTAAGGTTTGGGTCTTGAGGAAAACTGTGAAACTTCATGTCTTTGCAGGGATTCCGTTGTATATAACTAATACCACAAGTCATAAACCCACCAAAAATCACCAACAAATCGCACTATATAGTATTAACCACGATACACGTGCACTGCAGTAACGTTGCGACAATCCTGCCACTGGTAACCACGAGCCGACAACTCTCTGGGTGACGTCACGAAGCTCCGCCCACATGCGCAACATCCTATCTTCAGTGTATGTCTGAGTCCAGAGTCCACGCTCGATCACACTGCGATATACTGCGTAAGGATCTGTTGGTCCTCCTAGAGAATTCTCCTATCGATAGACCGGCTTCACGCTTCCGGACAATTCGACCCCTCCCAAAGTCACTTAGCTGGGACACCCGGCAAATTATACGCACTCTAAGCATTTTGAGCAATCACAAAAAGGCTTCTCAATGAGCTACACGAAGTTCAACATTTAACTTACACCGTAAATGTACGAAAACTGAATATTTCTTTATCACCAAAGAATACACGCAGCCACCACGAAAACTTAACAGAAAAACCTGACCATTTTATCACTTGTTGTTCATGGCAAGATAAATCAATATGTAAAAAATTCTTGAATTCTAATAAACAGTCGTTGGATTATTTTTTGACCACCACAGTTTCTAACTAAAATGAGCCCTGAAATTTTCCGAAACGTCGCGTCGGCAAGTTTGTACCAGGAAGCTGCGTTTCTTTAGACCCCAAATCAAACTAATTGCAATAAATTAATATAAATGAGGATCATTAGAAGAATAATTTTCTATTTGCTTTTACTATGTATCAAAATACCAATTTATACCAGACTCATTTGCTATGTCTTACTGTTTATTCATTGATTTTAATAATATCGTTTTATTCCAGAAAATGAAAGACTTTGGTGCAGCCCTCATATCAACAGACTCAAAAGAAAAAACTCCAACTTATAAAAAAATCGTTTGGTTGACATCCGTAGCCCGTAATGCATTAGTCGTAGTTGGTTGTGCAGTAGCGACTTTTGTTTTGGACATGCACGGCATGAAACCATTCTCATTAACAGGTATTCTTATGTTGTAGATTATAGGTTATGATTCTATGTTTTGAATCGAAGTTAGAAATGGCAGGAAGAAAGACTCGATTTACCCATGAAACAGATCTTGAGTACCTTAGGAACGCAAGAAAGAATATTTTTTTCCAAATCAAGAGACAAAAAATATGGAATCTGTATTTTAGATGCCTGTATAGAATCTGCTCACAAATATACAGGGTGTAAACGTTACGGTAGTCATTAACGAAATGGGTAATAGGGGGGTTCAAAACAAGTCAAAAAGTTCATATGACCCATGGTCCAAAAGTCAATAGATTTTTGTCTAAATGGCTTTATAGTTTACAACTTTAAGTGCTTTATATCGACCCCAATCACCACAATCTTACTAATTTTTATAATCTAATCTAAAACGTTTTTAAATTGGGTAATCAACAAACAAATGGCATTAAGTTTTTCCAAGTTATGCCAAAATTTGTTGTCAGGAAGTAAGTAAGCTTCATTTAATTGAATATTTAAAACACACATGACAACAGCGCGTCGATCATTATCACCCTTATCGAACCGTCAATCGATCGCAAACGGTAACAGTGGTTAGTTATCGGGCATCGGGCGTGTTGTTTACAATTTTCTCAAATCAAGAGTTCGCCGAAATGTTATTAGTTTACGGTTAAGCTCGTCAGAATTCAAATCTTGCAGCTCAAATTTATGGCGACAGATTTCGCCAAAGGGTACACCCAGACAGGACATTTGTGCAAGTGTACCAAAGACTTCGAGATACAGGAAGTGTTCAGCCCACTCATATTTGCACTCGTGAAAGACAGGTTACTGTAGATCAGGAGGAATAAATTTTAAATATCGTGGAAATCAATGCAGATGTCAGGACTCGGGAAGTAGGCCTCCGCGTAGGACTATCGCATACCATAGTCCATAGAATCCTACGGGAAATTTTGCTTTATCCCTACCATATACAACGAGTGCAGGCCTTGTTACCAGAAGACTATCCTCGCAGAATAACATTCTGTCAGTGGTTTTTGCACAAAAACATTGAAAATCCGGATTTTTTTAAAAACATTCTAGCGACCAAGAAAATCCTCATACCATTCGTGAAGGTCATTTCCAACAACGTTTTAAAATAAATATTTGGGCGGGTATTCTTGACGATCAGGTAATTGGCCCTTTCGAGTTACCCCCAAAGTTGTCAGGAGAAGGATACCTTAGCTTTCTAGTCAATAACCTACCAGAACTTTTGGAACAGACCTTAGACAACATGCCATTACAACGGAGACAGAATTTGTGGTTTGTTCATGACGGGGAAACACCACACATTTTTAGAGGCGTCATTCAGTATTTGAATGAACATTATTCAAACCGCTGGATCGGTCGAAATGCTCCTGATCCTCGAAAATGGCCATCAAGATCTCCTGACCTCAATCCGATGGATTTCTGGTATTGGGGGAACTTGAAGGGATGGTAAATGGGGCTGGTCTAATAACAACTAAAGCACAACTTCGCGAAAAAAATTTTAATGCGGCTGAAATAATAAATGGACAACTTCGAGGACCTAGAGGAAGAAGAAAATGGGTTCATCGTAATGAAGCTAGTGGGGAAAGTGGAGCACGAAATTTTGAACACCTTCTCTAAATACAAAAAAGTGTAGTGTGGGTTTTAAAAAGAAAAACAATGTATGTATCAAAATTGTGTTCCCTATTTATAAGTGGATTTTTTTAATACGTTGAATAAGCTTTCACAGACCAGGTGAAGCGCTGAGACAGTTAGAGGTATGTCCGTTTTTTTAATTGTTTGAATTTTACGAGTACATTATCAAATAATGAAATAACACCTAAGAGCCAAAAATAACAAACTCCATCTTTATTTACACTGAGTTGCGTCTTCATTTGCGTTTGGCATTGCGACATTGTCTGATTTTATTTTACTTTAAAGTCGCTTTTCGCTAAAAAAAATGCCGTTTTGACTCCCATGTCATATGGAACTTTTTGCTTCTTTTAACCCCCTATATCACCCATTTAAATAATGACTATAATAACGTTTACACTGTGTATTCTGATCCGTCGAACGAATCTACATGTAAATTATGGGCAATACAACGGAGAATGTCACACTATCAGTATTTACTGTGATTCATCATGGAATGTGATATTTACTGACTGTGTAGCCCGGACATTCGCCTTAGATATTTCCACTATTCTAAAGAACACTGAATTGAAAGCTAAAAAGTATAGATTTTTAAGTTTTTCAAACCCCCAACAAACATTTGTATTAGAAAAATTCTTATTGTTTCAGCTGATGTTCCATCGGGTTGGCCAAACGTTTCCTTACCCCCTTTTAGGATACAGCAAGGCAACAGCACTGTAACATTAACAGACATTTTAGTCGAGCTGGAGGCAGGAATTATCTTTATACCATTTATTGCTATATTGGCCAACATTGGGATCGCTAAGGCCTTCGGTAAGACGATCATATGAGATCTATAAATGAAGTGATGAGAATTTTTTTTGTTTATTCAAATATAATTACAATTTTATATTGCCACGCTCAGGATAACTTCCTTCTGAAGGCACACATCGCTGGAGACGATTCTTCCACTCCTCATAGCACTGCTGGAATAGCCTTCAGCAGGTCAGTTACAGCGGTTTGAATGTTCTCGACTGTCCCAAAATGAGTTCCTTGAGGTGATTTTTCAACATCCGGAAAAGAAAAAAGTCACAAGAACTCGGGTCAGGCGATTGAGGATTCTAAGGAGCCAGAGGAATGTTTTTACTGGCCTAAAACTCGTTTATTGACAAGAAGCATTATCGTGATGCAACACCCAGTTGTTCTTGATCTGATGAACGGTGGTGTGAGTCAAATTTAACTCTTCCCCGACTTCTGACTTCGACCGGCGATCTGAACGCACAAGATCGCTTCGTGACTCATTTTCAATCGACTCTCTCCCTTCTGAAAATGCCTTAAATCACCGAAAAACCTAGGCTTCTGACAAAATAGTATCTTTGTAGGCCTGTTTAGCAAGACTTTCTATTGTACTGTGTGCAAGTCTAAAGCAAAACCTGATAGCCGTTGCTCGAAGTTGTTGTCACTCACTTTTAGAACACAATAGAAAAAACTGTTTCACAAAAAGAATCGCCAAAGAGGACCAATTGGCTCGAGCGAGTTCAAACTTGTACTGAAGGCGGCTCACATGTTCCTTTGTCTCCCCTTCAAGCCTGGAGCCTTCAGTTTTGCCAGATAGAACGCTGTTGGTCTCATCACTTAATTTATAGACCTCGTAAAGAAAAGCATACAGTACCCTCAATATGTGGCCGATCTTCCGGTATCATGCAGAAACAATTATCATACGCTGCGCGTCGGGAGACAATACAACCTCAAGCTAAAATCTAGTATTTTTCCCGTGTATAATACACAATTTTTTTCTGTGACGGGAAAAACGACGATTTAACATTGAAAAATTATATTATTACAGTATTTAAGTCAGAAAATTATCGATGTGAAATTTTAATTTTGAAATTAGTAGGCTATGTTGCACTTATAGCGACATAATAGTCCAGTTGAATAGCCGAAACTGTCGCAAAAGTGATAACATAGCCACACAGTTATGTCCGCTGGTGTAGTGTAATAAAGGCTTGCGAATATTGTCGTAAGAGGAGGGTTTTCCGGAAACCATCCGTTTTTTGTAAAACAGCAAAAAACCCAAAAAACCTCTTTTTCGCTGAAACGGCTGAGGATATCTGGGATTTATTTTTGGGACATCAAAATAGCTATCTGCAATTGTTTCGCTAAATTGCTTAGTTTTCGCGCTACAGCTTGCAGACTGTTTTGGCGCGGGGCTTGCGGGGTCAAGGACATATGGTATATCTGAAGTCACTTGAAATAGCATAAAAACCTTTGGTCGGCGCGTCCTTTGTAATTTCATGACGTATCATAGGCGTGCGGTGATTTATTTAGAACGATAATAATAATGTTTTTATATCACAATAAATGGATTTTACTATCTTCTTATTTTTTTGATTTGGGATAAAAAATACTTATATTGGGAGTTTAATTTATGTTGACTGAAAGTTAAGAAATGGAAAAATTACAGAATTCCAACTTTGACATAGGCAAATATTTACATAGCAGGTAGGTATATAAAAAGGTATATAAAGACTTACATTATAGGTATTTATATATCATCCTCGCCTTCGGAGCTGTCGCTAGAGTCATCTTGTAGAGGAATTACAACGGGATTTACAGGAGGCAAAACACAATATTCATTTTCTTTTTCAATAATATGCCTAGAACACTGCTTCCATAGGTCTGTGGCAGCAATATGAGATACTGCATCTCTTATTGTGGCCAATAGCGATTCACTTAATTGAGGGGTCTGATTATGTTTTCTTACTTTTTTTTAAAGCAGCCCAGACCAACTCAATCGGGTTAAAAATGCAGTAATAGGGAGGTAGACGTAATACTTCATGGCCATTTTGCTGAAGCAGATTGTCAACAACATACTCTTTTTCAAATTTTTGTCTTTTAATAAGATCCAATAATTGATTTTTGTGGTATTTCCATTCCCTTATCATTCATAAAATCAATAACGTCTTGTTTTTTTGTGCCTGTATTCGGAATTTTGTTTTTCTGTCGGGAATGGTATGGCGCATTGTCCATAATAATCACTGAATTTGGGGAAATGTTTGGTATTAACTGCTGCTCTATCCACTTTTCAAATAAGTCGGAGGTCATGTCCTCATGATAGTCGGCACATGATTCTTTGATATTTTTGGCAGATAACAGCAAGGCATTAGGTATAAATCCATTTTCACTGCCAGCATGGAGAATAATGATTCGTTTTCCACTGTTGCATGGTGCATTTAAAATGCACTTGTTGCTGTCGTCAACCCAGCCGTACTGCACAACATCATGGGTATCATACCACGTTTCATCCAGGTAAATCAGATTTCTTTTCTGCTCTCTATAGATTTTAACTTTGTGCAAAAATTCTTGGCGCAATTCAACGATTCGAGACGACTCCATAATCACCATTCTTTTATCTAATTTTTTGTATTGAAAACCACACAGTTTTACAATACAGTGCAGTGAGTCTAAGCATTTGTACGTACGTAATTATAAAAATCTTCAGGATAATCTTTTAATTTATCCCGTATCATTTCCAACGTGGGCACCAAATTTTCTTTATAAAATGAAAACCCACGTCTATTCTTTTTAATTTTTGCCCTATGAGCTTCCTGTGGAAGGAATGGTTGACTACATCTCCCCTTTTTATAACCCGATAAATGGTAGACCGACTGATTTTTGTCAGGATACAAATTCTGTTTAAAATTTGATTTTGCGAGGAATCTGGATTTTCGTTTTTCAAACAATCATACATATTTAGGATTACTCTTTGGGTCTGTTCCTCTAAATCTTTATGAAAGAATTCTGCCTGCACAGGTTCATCAACCATCTCCTCGTGGCTTGGAGCATTTTCCCAAGGTCTTCAAAGAGACATATTTAGGACACACAAGAACAATTAAATCAACAAGTAAACTGAGTATTCAAAAGTCAAAAACACACAAACTAATAAAATCTATGAAAAAACACGGACAGACTAAAGAAAACACGTTTATTCACCGCTACACGGCACTGGCTAAACTGTTTCAATTTTCAGTAGCCACCTGCACTTTTTCGGAGGTCTGAAATACACGCTTTCTCATTGGCTATGTCCACACATAGGCGTGCTTTACTCCACGTGGACCGGTGAAACTGCCTTTGATCTTATACAGGGGATATTTGCTGCGAAATTTGGCGATTTTTGCAGCAACAGAGCGTGTTAAATATAGATATATAAAACGCACCCGGTATTTCACAGTGTTTCAAGTGACTTCAGATAAAGTATACACATATCACCATCCGCCGTACCGTTGACGCGGACGATCCTCTTTTAATATTTGGACGTCCTCAGTGTCTCACTCTCAGTGATAGGCCAGTCGATTTCGCAAAATAAGCTCGTTTGTAGTTGCGGCTTTCACTGGCGTATGCATATTAATGAATTTTGGAAATTTATACGTTTAGGTAGAGTACAAGATGCAGTAATTTCTCTTCAGCCGCTTACCGATTGAGGTACCGAGTGAGGTATAGTATTTTTATTTAGAATTGGAACAACGACAAAAAACCTAGTGCTGCAGAAAAGGTGTGAACGTGTATACAGGGTGACTTCGAAGATGAGTCATTTATTTTAACAGCGAGTAGATCTGATCAAAAGAAATGTTTTTTCCTTTAACATTTTTCTGGTACAATTAAAGTAACAAAGTTATAGCCCTTTAGAAGTTTGAGTACCGCCCTGTCTCAATAATAATATTATGTGCTCGTGTTTGGCAACAACGGATATCATCCGCCTTATCCGTTCATCGCATCGGAAACAAAAAAGCGAAAGAATTTGAAACGATGTTTTTACTACAATGTACAATTTTATTCAGTTGTATTCAGTCGGTGTGTCAGTCGGTAACGCGTGAGTGAATAGTGGTGTTTGTTGCGTGGCTCAAACGAAATAAAAAATGGCACATGTTTACGAAAATGCTGAATGTAGTACAAAGGGCTCGTGAATCAGGTGACTTAAGACCTCACAGGGGAGAGCATGCCGGTGCTCCAAGACCGCACGATCAAATACAGGTCCGCACTGAAATACTTGTCGGGAGGATACTTTATAAAAGAAGGTAACATTTTTTTTTATTTTTTTTTTATTTTTACACACATATTTTGGTTTATCTTCCTTCTACAATCATTATCTGAAAATTAATGACTCAACTTCAAAGTCACCCTGATAAGAATACATTACAGAATGTAGAAGCCCATGAGTCATCAAAAGACTCGTTTTCGAGGCTCCACGTCGTTTTCATAATCATCATATGATGAGCATTTGACGATATCTGCTCTGGACACTCGCTGTGGAAACCAATAATAATGCTGATTTGTCTAGTCCTAGTCTCAATGTATCGGTGTACGTTAGCTTGACGTGTAGACACGGCAGTATGCTCTGCTGTACAACTTATCTGCACTGGACTTCACACCCTGTTTGTACAGCTCAGGGATTTTTTGCGTTTCCAATTATCGATAATGGAAGGACTGTATGTGTGTGTACATTTCAGAGTTGAGTTAATTGAACAGAAACATAATAATTAAAAAATTGTCATCCTATCAAAATCGAAAATACACAGAATTGATGCATCTTATGATAAATGGTTTGTCCATAATTATATATATAAGGAAAAAATATATAACTTCAATTCTAAAATGTTCACACACTTACCTCACTTATCCAGTCAATCGACAAGCAACTGAAGAGAAATTACTCCATTTACTTAAACGCATAAACTTCGAAAATTAGTTCATTCGGAAAAGTCGGTGAACGCCAAACTGAAAAGCGAGCTCAGGGTTCAAAATTCAACTGGACTATTACACCATGTAGTAAGAGATCGTCTGTCTGTGTCATCAACGCATGGACGGCAGGGCTGCCAGGCGTGGCGATTTTACACCAAAGTAGCGATTTGACAACTTCAAATGGCGACTAAAATTGATAGCTTGGCGATTTGCTACTTTAGTGGCGACCAGTATCCAGCAAATTGGCGATATCTGGCGATTTTTTGCATTCCTGACGCCACTTAATTTGTAATCTATTTTTGCCGATATAATAATAAATCGCCTTTATTTAGGGGGGGGGGGCGAAGTTTAGCATAATGCTACTCTGCCACTTAACCCCCCCTCCAAAAAAAAGGAGAACTGAAAAACAACATAAAAAATATAAATACATTTGATAGTTTAAAAATGTAGGTGCATAAAAAATATGATGTATATAACATATATAAGTGAAGGCGATTCAATATTTCATGAGTTGAAAGTTATACAAACAAAGGAATGCTATTTTGGAAATATTTTTATGTGAGGTAATTTATATACTTCTATGTATACAAAATAAATTTCTTCATATGTCTTTTAATTTCATAATATGATAGCAATTTTGTGGATCGAGGTATAGCAATGTAAAAAAAAATTGTATAGATTAATGGAACATGAAACGAGGACCAGCGGAAGTTCTGTGCTCTAAGCACAATGGATCCGCTCCATTGTGAACTTCGTCCAGATTACACTTGTCTAACAACCCCCTCCTATTCCTCCCCCTCTCCCTTTTCAAGGAATTGTTTATTGTCATATAATATTACTATTATGCCTAACCTCCATCACCACCGCTCTTCATTTAACAGGCAGGCTCCAAGAAATTCATTCGCATCTCTAACCTGGCCTTTTATGGTTGACTCATAGTTATTTCAAAGACTGGCGATTTCTGGCGATTTTCTCATTAAAACTTTGCGACCAACGTGACTGAAAACCTGGCAACCCTGGTGGACGGTGCGGCGGCAGTTTGGTGGTATGCAGGAATGCAGGTGCGCGCGACCTTTTGCGCGCAAGCCCCTCACCATCAAACCATCAGCAAGCTGAAGCGCGCAAACTACGCATTGTAGAAAAAAATTTGCAAAGACCTTTTTTGATGGCTCAAAAATTAGAAAAATTTTCGTGTAAAAAAATCCTAGATATCCTCAGCCGTTTCAGTGTTTCCGGAAAACCAAATTCATAGAACAATATTCGCAATCCTTCATTACACCATCACGCCAGCGGAAATATCTTTGTGACTATGTTATCACTTTTGTCTCAGTTTCGGCTATTTAACTGGATTATAAGGACACTTTTAAAGTAATCAAATAGATGTCAATTTAATTTTCTGATTTGATTTAAAAATTGTGAACTTAGTGTTTGTTTAGAAGTTATTTTTCATACTATAAAGTAAAAAATGTCTGATTCCGAGTTTTCTTTGACTCCACCAGAATTACTAGGAGTAGCCAAAGTAACTTCACAAAAATTAGTTCCAACTAAATATGTGTTTATACAATATCTGGGAAAAAAGTACTCATTTTTTTCCCGGGGAAAAAAGTAATTTCATAAAAAGTGTCATTTTGTTACCTGTCAACAGAGATAAAATGTCAAACTTTTTTCCCGTCACAGAAAAAACAAAATGATTATGAATAAAAAATGGCATCACAGGAAAAGATACAGGCATCCGTCTTTTGAATGACATTGTATTTTCAATGAATTAGAATCAGGTATAACGTGTTCTCCTTTAAAAATATTCACAGGAACTGATGAGCCCTAAGTTATTGGCTAATGTTTTATATTTTTACATTTAATGGGGAGGTACCTAAGATTGTGTTTACTTCCTATGCCCACTGGCGAGGAAGTATTGAAATCACGTAAATTTCCGAAAATGAGATATGTTTTTTTGGATGTATATGACGTGTACATCACGAAAAACCTTTTGTTACTCATTTCCGCCGGTCTGTCTGTCTGTCCGCTAAACCGGTAATCGCCTATAACTTGAGAAGTACCGCTCGCATTTTGATGAAAATTGTACACAATTTTACTACTAAGCCAAAGATAAAAAAGCTTTGAAGTTTTTGAAAATTTGTCCAGTGGAGAAAAATACCACAAACGAAAAGAAAATTAAAACAGCTTAAACGTCGTTATTTAATGTTTCAGAAGAGCATTTATGGAAAAAAAATTGAAATAAATAATTGGGAGGGAATTGTCCCGTTTATTTGCCTTTGAAACTTCGAACAATAGATAGAATGTTTTCGACAAGCGTCCCTGCGTCTAGTGTCTTCAACGGCCGGCGTGTCGGTGTTCGTATGTGTCGTGCATGACTGGAGCTTCAGTCAGCGCTCTGCTTTCAGATATTGGGAAGAGGAGACGCGACGTTGCCAGATGGACGGTACTACGGGTAGGGCAGACAAAACGATGTTATGGACTGATTGTACGGACTTGATCCGTTAAATTTCTCTATTATACAATTCGCAACTAATTATTTTCTTAGAGGGTCTAACTGTTTCAAACTTTTTTGGCTACTCATGAGCATGGTCTAGGCTTGGGGCCTGGCAGAACTAACGAAAACATAGCAACTATCCTCTATCCAGGATATAAGCTATATGGCGCTGTCTTATTTCGATAGGATCTAACTTGAGCTGAACATAATATTTTATGAACCGATGACGGCGTTGCGTGGGAAGTGTAGAGTCAACCCACTTGATGCCAATTTTTATTTTTTGTATTCTGCATGAACCCGATAGATCGCTCAGATATGCTGGGGCAACCTGTAGAATTTCTCCGTAGTAACTAAGCGTTTTTTAGCTCGAGGCAGGGTGATAGACGCCTCACAAGAAATGATTGCTATAGGTGCTTGTAACATTGCTGGATCATTTTTTGGATCTTATCCTGTGAACGCCTCGTTTTCAAGAGCTGCAGTTGGTGGCGCTAGTGGTGTCAAGACTCCTTTGGCTGGAATATATACAGGTACTCACTTGGAATGATTTATTCTCGGGTACCAAAATGGCAGACACATCGTACGCCAGTGCTAAGCTTTGCATTGGCAAAAACGGTGCGCGCGGATGCCTTCGACATCGCATTATAATAATAATGTTAATATAAATAATAATGATAATAATAATAATAATAAATTATTTGACAAACTGCAGAATTCGGACCTTCTACCGAATCAGACCCGCTCTTCCATTCAACCGAAAGAAAATACAATAATTCTTCACCTAGATCTTACCGTGATACCTTACAAGCAAGAAACTTGATCCAAAAAGGGTTGAAGAAAAACAGAAATGAAAAACTGTTGTTATCGTATACAATGTGTAGGGTTGACAAATTTTTAGAGAACATTGTGTTTAGACATCGCCATCGTAACATCGATGGTTTCAATAAGTCGGAAGAAATGTATGTTATAATGAGAGGATAAGAACGGTACCTCTGTAACCGATTGTAATATTTCGGAAAATGTGGGGAGGCTGTGAATTACTCTGTGGCTGATTCTCACAAATATACTCGATCAAGGCTAGCCCTGCAGTTAGGTTTGCGATCCTTCTGTAAGAGCCCTTTCATTTGTACGAAAGAGCTAAAGACCCACGGTCTGCTCCGTTTCCATAGACGTCACATCATATCAGGACTACTAAACAAGTTTCTGCCACGTCGGGAATATGAAGATTCTGCCTATTTTGAAGCTATCATTTAGAGATGGCAGTACAGTTACGGAACACCGATGTTTTTGATCACTACAATGCCGCACGGCACTGGCATTACGTATCTTGAAAAGTGATTATATCGATTTTTTTGACATTATATTGTTTTTTGTGACATTATGTACGTTTTTCTACAAGGTGTTAACTCAATACTAGCTGATGTACACGTTGTGAACTCGTTTCGTTGTTGTACGTGTTGCCTAAACGTCATGAAGCTTCAGTTATCAGTGTTCGGCTCTGATGTGATGTAAAATCTGCTTCGGCCTTACTGGAGGTCTACACTTACCTGAGATTCAAAGCTAGAAATTAGTTGTGCATCAACTTTTTCGTATTCATTCTGGAAATTAAATATCAAAATTTACCGAATTTCAAAAATGAGAGAGATTAGAAATAATTATATTCACTGTACACGGTCGAATTACAAGTCAAATAGATACTAACAGTAATTACACACAACACAGGCGCGGTGGTGATTTCCCGTAATTATCCTAAAAGTTTTTGAATACACAAAAAAAACGTAAAAAATCGTAATTCACAACTTTGAACATAACCTGTCTTCAGAGAGGAGGACAAATATAAATAACCTGTCACGCACAGCTAACAGATATACTTCATTTTCAGGGTTTATCTCTGGTCGGCAGCATATTCAGCAATAATTTACTCACACAGCAAATATCACTGATTTTATACACATGCAGACCAATACACACAATCGTCCAGATGCGATCTTGCTATTCAAACAACTTTCTTCTCAGAGATGAAAACTATAGACTACTCGGCTTCACAAACCTTATGCAACCAACAATGCGTGTAGTTGAACCATCTAGGTAGTTTTTAAGGTGCAAAGAGTCGTTCCACGTTTGCTCACTGGGATCGTTGTGAGCGACCGTCTATGGACTAATAGCTCAACTACATGCATACGCGCATTGTTGGTTGCATATGTTTTATGAAGCCGAGTAGTCTATAGTTTTCATCTCTGAGAAGAAAGTTGTTTGAATAGCAAGATCGCATCTGGATGGTTATGTGTATTTGTCTGCATGTGAATAAAATCAGTGATACTTGCTGTGTGAGAAAATCATTACTGAATATGCTGCCAATGAACTATATCTATTAGCTGTGCTGTGAAGACTGGTTATGTTCAAAGTTATCAATTACGATTTTTTAAGTTTCTTGTGTTTTCAAAGAATTTTAAAATTACGGGAAATTGTCCAACTTGTGTGTAATTACTGTTAGCATGGACATGACTTGTAATTTGTCAGTGTGCAGTGAATATAATTATTTCTTGTCTCTCTCATTTTTGTAATTCATCAAATTTGCACATGTAGTTTCCAGAATGGATAAGAAAAAATGGATGCGCAACTAATTTCTAGCAATGAATTTCAAGAATCCAATGGAATCATCATCAACATATATTATTAGCACACAAATCCTCTCAATGCAGATTTTACAGCACATCAGAGCCAAACATTGATAATTGAAGCCTCATGACATTTAGGCAACACATACAACTACAAAACGAGTTCACAACATGTCCATCAGCTAGTACTGAGTTAACATCTTGTAGAAAAACCTACATAATGTCACAAAAAAACAATATAATGTCAAAAAAAGATCAACAAATGTCACTTTTCAGGACATGTAATACCCATGCCGAAGTTTCGATATATCGACATACAACCAACGATGCTAGATTCGGCGTATCCATATATTCGATATATCGATGTATCATAGCAGAGTTGGGTCGAATACTGATATCCGGTAGGTATTCGGATACGAATCCTGAATTTTATTCGAATACTCAAGATTCCAATACAGAGGAAAAAGTATTCGGATACCGCTGTTTTGAATAATTGTATTAATATGCGAAGTTAATCTGATTTCTATTCATGTACTTAAGACAATATTAAAAAAATGAATAAATTGGTATTAGAATTTTGGGATTCGGAAAACGTATTCTAAATCCAGGATACCGAGTACACTGACTAAATGAGTATTCAGTCGAATACCAAACAGTTGTGTTCGAATACTATTCAACTCTGTATCGTAGCCATCCCTTACGATGTGCTGCGCTACTCTCTTCCGTTTTGGTACCAAATTATAGTAATTTATGTCGATTCCGTTGTTAACACATTGTAATTTCCTGTATACAGCATGTTGAAACTAATAATTACACAACTCAAGTTGCATAGGAAGTGTAAATCAGTATAAATGGCAACATAACTTGGTGCTACCCGTCCAGCAAAATGTGGTAGGTATGGTTAAGCTGGAGACGGGAGTTCGAGTCATATATCAAATCTCATCGCTAAATGTGCCATGTAACCAGTGTTGCCATTTACACTTCCAATGATGCTTAGTTTGTGTTATATATTTTTATACATTTTTTTCAGCTGGCATGGTGTTCCTAGCATTCACTTTACTGACGCCGTATTTTTCATACATTCCAAAGCCTACACTAGCTGCTGTTATCATCTGTGCTGTCATCTTCATGGTGGAAGTTGTCATATCAAAAAATATATGGATCATTTATAGTAGGTACTATTGGAAAATTATTCAGCATTTTTAAATCCATCATTCTTTTAAATGTGATATTCTTTTGAAACTTTTTTATATTTTTGATGATACAAAAAAAGCAATTCATATTTATAATTTTTCAACTGAGATGCTGAACCTTGGTGGTGAAATTGGAAATATAGGTGGTTTGCAAGAACCATAGTTAAGATAAACAATATGTTGTAGGACTTGATCTAATACCATTTTTGACAACGTTCCTATCTTGTCTACTCATAGGACTTGAAATGGGTATCATAATAGGAATTATAGTAGACCTTATGAAGATTTTGTATATTTCGGCAAGGCCTGACGTGCTAATAGAACGAATCCCTGTAAGTAAGTATATTTATTTACTCTATCTAGGTACTATGCCCCAGTAAATGTTCAAATTTTATGGTATAAAAGTTAAATAAAAAGTAGCGTTGCTCTGAAAAAATACCTGGCAACGAATATGTGTAACAAAAAATTAAATGGGTCAAGTCAGTCAATCAGACATATAAATTTGCATATTTAGCTTGCTCTTGTATGCAATTTTTTACCCCCGCTCGTCAAAAAGTTTCTGAGGTAGGAACCCTTGTTAAGGGTAAATGTACGGGGTAACCTATGATTTGTAAAATATGTTTATAAGGTGCGTAGATATATCGAGGTTGGTGGCATATAAATATACCAACGTCAGAAAATTGATAATTTACTTCCCCTACCCTCTAAAAAAAAGATGAGGAGCCTCTGGAGCGTCAAAAACGCGGTTTGAGCAATTTTTATTATATTCGTTCATCACTAGACCGATTTTCAAAAACTACAAGGTTTTTTGTACTTTCCAACTTAGCGGACATACCAACAGACAGGCAGACCAACCGACAGACATACCGACAAAAATTAGTTAATTGTTTTTTTTGGTATGCACATGTGATATAACATCCAAAAATTGCATTTCCTCGAGAGGGGCGCGGGAAGTAAAATGGTGTCAAGCCTATCGATTCTATAATGGAGCAAGAAGTAATTATTTTGGAGCAATTTAGACGCACCTTCACCGTAAGATATAGCTTTAAGTATATACAGGGAAGTCCAAATTCGTCTGACGGCTTGAGTTCAATGTGTACGAGAGAGAATAGCGAGAAGTGTGTATCGACATATGTTAGAGAGGGATAGAAGGCGGCTGAAGAGCGAAAGTCATCACCACGTTGCCTTGCGACGGTGACGCAGAAGGCCGTGCAATCTGCCGCGTTGCCAATATGTTACACCAGAAAATCTTCGCACAGGCTTGCACAATAGGTTAGGTTACTGTCAAACCCAAGAAGGAGGTCTGTTTTTTAATTTAATATTTTGTTTTCATTTTTTATTTCAATTTTAATGCGGCTTAGTGTTTCAATTTACTTTAGAATTACCTTTGATTTCCACCGGTGTTGATAAAATAAACACATCCTGAGTTATTGTTACATTTTGCGACATTTCGACCTAAAATGAAGCGCCGTTAGGACCGATCCGTAGCCGATCCTAAACATATTCGACAAGCTCAAAATAAAACCATTATTTCGGCGTAGAGAATAAACTAACGTATATTTTCAACATGGCTCTTAATTCAAGGAACTGGTGTTACAAATTGGCAACGAGTCAGATTGTCGTGTCAGCGTTGCTAGGCAACGCGGTGATGAGCTTCGCTATCCAGCCGGCTTCTATGTCTTTCTAACATATGTGTCTATACACATTGAACTCAAGAAGCTGTCAGACAAATTTGGTTTCCAGTGTAGAACTGATTGAGTTTGTTAACGAAGGCGAGTATCCCGCAGCTACTTTTTTGAGATTTGGGTGGCACTATGCTCGGACCGATTCCCTTCATCTTATATGTGAATCAGATTGCAGATGTTTAGCGTACAAATAAATTTACAGCTCATGTGGATGTTATAACTTTGATTATTTCATCGAAAGAGGATGGTGTCGCATAAAGTCCCTGACACAAATGAATAACTTTTTTTAGGTCACGTGACCATTTTATCAACACCGAAAACAGTGTTCGGATTTCTCAATAACCAGCGCAAGTTAGATCAATTTAGTATAAATGTCAATAGTTCAGTATTAGACAGCCAAACAGATAAAATTCCTCGCAATCTTTATTGATGAGTGTTTGAGTTGGACAGACAATGTGGACAACTATCTAAATCATTACCTCTTACGCATATGTTTTTAGGAATTTAAGAATTGTTTTAAGCTGTCCCATTTTAGTGAATATACAGGGTGTTCCTTAATGATATGCGAATATTTAAGGGTGTTAATCTACATGAGAAATTAATGCTAGTTTGCTTTACAAACTATAGTCCAAAAATGTTTTCTTACAAAAACTCGGGGTGTTGAAGTTTTAGGAAAAAAATGGAAATGAATTAATATTTTCAGAACCGCTTCAGATATTTCACTGATATTTAGTACGTAGCAAAAGTTAATAAAGCTGGATATTTTTCAATGCAGACATATTTTTTAGCTTTAAGAATGGCGTGCGTACGGGTATTGACTTCGATATTTTTTAAGAAAAAAATGGTACGCCAATGGTTTTTTGCCAAATAATTTATTTTTTGAATTTTCCGTTTAATTTAAAACAAATGATCTCTCTTGAATTGTTTTCATTTGATGCGCCATTTTTGAGTAAAAAAATAAAAACCGTTCTATTGTCTAACTTGTAAAATCATGATTAATTTAATTGGAAAAATTAAACACATTAGGGGTAATGAACAACAACAACTGAAAACATAAAACATTAAAACCAACGAAATGATTACAAAAATTGTTGAAAATGGCCCGCTTCACTTAGTATGCACGCTTCCGCCATCCTTCTCATGGAATTGCGCACTCGTTGAAATATCACTGGGGTTTTTTTTATTCTATCACAAGCGGCAACTATTCCTTCTCTTAATTATTTCTCTACAGTGTTAATGAGACTTGTGTATAGTAGTGTCTTAAGATAGTCCCACAAAAATAAATCTAAACTGTTGAGGTCTGGGGACCTTGGTGGCCGTTCTTGGGGCCCACCGCGGCCAATCCAACGATTTGTTTCTTATTACTAACGGAACATAATCAAGCAGCAAAGGCAACTTTTGTTGAAGAAAATTGAGGGAAGTCTGTCCGTCAAGTCGAGCCGTCAAGAAGAATGGGCCAATAAATCGGTTGCCAATAATTCCTGCCCATACGTTAACCGAAAATTGGTGTTGGAAATGGGTTTTCAAGAAAAATTAGCTTCGTCCGTGACCAGAATCATTGATTGAAATTGCGGATTTTGTGTAATTTTTTGAAGATACCACTGACAAAAGGTCACACGCCTTGGAAAATCAATGGGAAAGAATGCCTGTACTCTTCAAATATGGTAAGGATATAACAAAAAACCCACTAAAATTCTCCAAAGTAAATTTGATGGCAAACATTTAAGTGTCTAGCGATCTTCCTCGTACTCGTTTCAGGATGTTCTTCGACTTCGTGCAGCACTGCTTCCTCAATTTCAGGTGTTCTCACACTTAGAGGTCTACCTTCAGATGTTCCTTTTCGGACAGAACCAGTTTCAACAAGACCACGATGAATATTAGGAAAGGTTCGACTATCTGGCAAAGCACGATCGGGATATCTCTGGTGATAAATCCATCTGGCTTGCTAACCATTACCGTCGGCAAGGCCATATACGTAATGCATTTCCGCCAATTCTGCATTTGAATAATTCACCATTATTAACAAGATTGTAAAAACTAAATAATGAAAAAGATGTCACAGCGAACAGATTTGAATAACAGAGACTTGTCAGATGTCAAAAGCCATTGACATATTCCAGAGCAACTAGATATTTATTGCTAAATTGCATTCTTCAATTACTACATTAATTTTCTCGGACAATAGAACGGTTTTTATTTTTTTTACTCAAAAATGGCGCATCGAAGGAAAACAATTGTTTTAAATTGAACGAGGAATTCAAAAATAATTTTTATTTAGCAAAAAACTATTGGCATCCCATGTTTTAAATTAAATAAATAAATAAAAATTATTTTTGCATTGAAAAATATGCAACTTTATTAACTTTCACTACGTACTAAATATCAGTGAAACATCTGAAGCGGTCCTCAAAATATTAATTAATTTCATTTTTTCCTAAAACTTCAACACCCCGAGTTTTTGTAAGGAATCATTTTTGGTCCATAGTTTATAAAGCAAACTATCATTAATTTTTCATGTAGATTCACACCCTTAAATATTCGTATATCATTAAGGAACACCCTGTATATTATGGGCTCGTTGAGTTTATACTTCGTTATGGCATTTGCTTGTGGAGTAGCTCATCAGACGGATATGAAGTATTTTTGAGAAAAAAAGATTGCAAAAAGTTTAGCAAATGCACGTAACCACCACTCGAGTAGAGAGCTGTTTAAAAGTTTTGAATTACTGACATTGACTTCTTTGTATATGTACTGGAAATAGCCACTTATGTATTTTCCAATAGGTACACTTCTTGTAAACAGTGACATTCACACGCACAATACCAGGATAGAACGTCAATTACATTTACAAAATTGTAACTATAAGCGCAGCCAAAGCTCACCTAATCACTTAGGCATAAAAATGTTCAATAGTCTTCGATATAATGTAAAGTAACAACCAAACGTCGTTTAAACAAAATTTGAGTAGTTTCCTGATTGATAAGTGTTTTTATACTATTGCAGAGTTTTTCTCTTGTAGGCATTTTTGATGTGTTATTTGTGTAAAATTTGTTTTAAAGTCTTGTCTTGTTTCAATGTTGTTTAACTATTATTTTATTCCTAGTTTTAAGTTTTCATTGGCCATTCCTATACGTTTAATAACATGTACATGAATATAAAAGAATTTGAATTTTAAGTCGTTATGAAAATACAATTATTTTGTACTTACAAGTGACGAATCTCATATTTCTATTTAAATTGACATGTTACAGGTAGATTCGGAAGTGCAATACTTAAAGTACACTCCAACGTGGTCCATAATGTTCTCATCAGCTGAGTATGTAAGAGAAAAAGTGTTAAGTGATAACATAAGCAGAGGACAGAGTGTCAGAACAGTCGTGTTGGACTGTGAAAGGATAGGATCCTTTGACTACACAGCAGCGCTGGTAGGTTTGGAAAATATAAATCCGACAGTCATTTGTAGTGAAATATTTATTTAGCCCAGAAGTTTAAGTGACTATTACTCCAGAGATAATAAGACGAAAAATGTATGACAGGTGTTATCTATTTCCAGTGCTTTAGCAATTTGGTCAAAGATCTGCAGAAAAACAACAAAGATGTATTATTTTTAAGTCTGAGCGACAAATTGAAGTCAAAGTTGGAAGAGCTTTGTAATGAACAACTTACGTCTTTCACAACCGATTTAGATCTTCACAACTATTTGTTAGGTAGGTATAAAGAAGAAAGTTGTTCTTGATAATGTATTGCAAACCGTCATTTGGCACTTGTACCTCCACCTGCATATAACTTGTGCCTGGGTGAAGGATTACTCAAAATTTCTGGAGAGTACCAAAGGATGAATAGGCATATATTACAGAGCCTAATGCTTCCGAGAGATCGGTATAGCGAGAAAATGGCAAAGTTATCAAAACGCTAAAATTTACAATTTTCCGAATCTTTAAACTTTTAACGAGTCTCCAGCTAGAACCGATCCGCAAGGGTATTACGTAACTTGTAAATTGACATTATGTCGTTTTTTAACAATATGTCTGTTTTTTGATTTTATGTAGGTTTTTACGATATTATGTAGGTTTTACTACAAGATGTCAACTAGCTATTCTTCACTTCATGCTCACTTGTATAGCAAACGCGGAATGAACTATTTGCACACTAGCCTTCTTAGTCCATACGTTAACATTTTATCGCTTTTTTGACATTATATAGGTTTTTTACGTAGTAACCTTGTCGTTCTACCTGGGACTCTGAAATTCCACAAAGCGTCCACTGGTACTTTCCAAAAAAAATGAGCTAGATCTGACATAAGACCGGGCAAGCCAGGTCGAAGAGTTTTAGCTTTGATCCCGCTGGCCTTCTATGGCTAACGTAAGTGAAAATAATCTGGGTATTTTTACCACCTTCTTCTATGGTTAGTTATAGACATTTCTAGAGTTGATACAGAAATAAGGTTACCAAAGATCTCCAGCCACAGTGGAAGGTGCGATAAACCCTCTTACAAGAGGCGCAATGGAAATAGAAATACAGAGTAAAATCCATTGCTGTCAAAATGGAGGGAAAATGTAACTGACAGAGACATCGAGCGCGTTCAGCAAACGCAGTAATAGCCGTAGCCGTGGAATAGCTTTGACAGTTCTCAAGCTTTCATAAACAAGCTATGAAATCTAACAGTCAAGTCAAAACTACTGTCAAACTGATAAAGCTATCCCATGACTGCTGCTATCTAGTATAGAAGCGCTGCTCCAACAGACCGCTTTACGTAGTCTGAACGCTTTTAAAGTTTTGGTAATGTCTTTCAAGTAGAGTCAATGAAAAATCGTCATTGTAACTATAGTGACTGGGCTATTACTACACCAATCAATAAGATATAGGTTAGGTAGGGAAGGGAATCCGTGTTGTTATGAAGCTTGAATTTCTCTTTTCTAACAATATGTTTATTCATTTGTTTAGGTTTCTCTTCTTCTCTTGAAAAACGTACCACAGAAATCCTGATTTCCAACATCAAAAACGAAGAAACTGTGGCCGATACCAAATTATAAAGTGATAGTTTAAAGTTTATCTATTAATCAGTATTAATAAAACTATTATTGGTATGAGCTTTTGTGTTTTAATAATGTGCAACTAGTGACAAAATCTACGTGATTACTCGATTACTTCAGAGAAAAATGTTATAGGTGAGTTAGTATTTTAGTTTGCATGCTAAAGTTACTTTGATCAATCATTTCCAAAGTTTAAATACAATTACTGTAAAACCTGACATATTGTAGTTTGTTTGGTAGATTAAAGAGCTCACAGAATCAACAAAAACCAAAGACAAACCTTCAAATACATAAACAAAGATACAACAGATGAAGATTCGTACTATGGCTAACACACCGACCTGATTTTTAACATATTGATTTTATTGCCTACATTTGCTGTAATGTTGGTTGTCTAACTGAAAGAGCTTCTACCAAAGCTTTTGAATGTTAAATTGTAGACTGATTCATTCATTTTGCAGAACAAAATGAGATTGGGATTTCAATGTCAGCGCACCCGTAAGATTTTTGTATTGCATAACAACTTTTTTGCAGAAAATATTCTCTATGACAAATTATAAACAAGTCCTTGACGCGTGTAATTTGATTTTACAAGAAATATAATGGATAATGTGGATGGTTTACTTTAATTATATGCCTGATTCGATATCTACATATCTGTTAATTCAAAATTTCCTGAAAAATAAAAATATTTTTTTCTTGGCCTGTTTATACACCATGCTCGACATTACTATTTGACTCACTATTGGTTGAATTTCCACCCTCGCTTCTATGATTTGCGGAAATTGTCAGTAGTGAGCCTATATAAACGTGATAATAACTTTGCCTAACAGCATTTTCGTTCCGTTTCCAATAAATACAAAGGAAAAAAACCTGGAACACATCGCAATTAGGGTTTAGTCGAAAGTCGAATATGAGCATCCAAAAAACTTAAAACAAAGAAATAAAATTAAATTGAAATGTAACATTACAAAACGTAAAATAAGTATTAACTACAATTTTATACAGAGAAATAAAAACATACTTATAGATAAATATTCATGCATCCCTCCTTTATTGTAAAAATACACATAAAATCACAATATCCCACATATTTGTATTACATAATTCATTATACAATATTATATTCACCATGACACTTTTTTCCGGGTTTTGTTATCATCCAGGAAAATAAACACCCAATAGCTTCCAGTAGAAAAAGCAGAATAACATTTGGAAATTAAAAATACAGTAATGGACAAAATTATATAGACAAATTAATATTGTGCTGTATTTCTCTTTTAACTTGTATACATAATTCGTTATAGCATAATATCCACTTATACATAAATAAATTCATTAGACTCCCTTCAATAAAAAATTAATTGAAAAAAACTGGAACTATGAAGGACAAAAATATATAGACAAAGCAAAACAATTATAGAAAAAAGAAGCAAAGTTCATTGAATTATAGAAAACCAACCATGTTTGGGTTGATATTTTGTAGCATAACCATTATTATCAATCACCGCCTGGCATCGTCTCGGCATAGATTGTAGAAGTTTCTTGATATAAGATTCATCAATCTGTCTCCAGTTTTGCTTTAAAGCGGCAAAAAGTTCATCCTTGTTTGAATAATTTTTATCTCGTATTTGCTTATCTAAGTATTCCCATAGATTTTTAATGGGGGTTATATCGGGAGACTGTCAGAAAGAATTTCTTTGCGAGATTTGAAGTGTGCTTCGGATCATTATCTTGCTGGAAGATTAATCTTAATGGCATATTGTCTTCCATGTAGGGTAACATGACATGCTTTAGTATGTCTGTGTGTACAAACTTATCCATAATGTCATCTATTCTACGTAAAGGTCCCATCTCAAACCCCGAAAAGCACCCCCAAACCATAACAGACCCGCCTCCATGTTTGACAGTGGGCAAAGTGTACTTGGGGTTCAATCTTTGTCTACTAGGACATCTAACGTAATGAACACCATCTGATCAAACATATTGAACTTGGATTCGTCACTGAAACATACCCTCTTCCAGTCACAGATGCTCCCATCAAGATGCAACCGTGCAAATTGTAATCGGTCCTTACGGTTTTTCCTCGAGATTAGCGGCTTCTTACTCGGGCGACGTGCAAATATCTTCAAATTATTTAATCTTCTACTTATAGTTTTCGTAGAAACACTGACAATTCCTTTTGTCTCGATTTCGGCTTTTATTTTCCTTGGGGGTTTTAAACGGACCTTTGGTCGAAATTACTTTTATTAATCTAACCGATCTAGCATTTAGTTTTCGAGGCCGACCACTTCTCTTAGAGGCCTCCAACATACCTTTTTGTTTATATTTGTTCAATAGTGCCCAAACTACGTTACGCTTCAGCTTCAAATTTTTCACAATGTCGACTTGACGTTGACCATCTTTGTACAACTAACTCAATGATATTAGTTTTCACATCGAAAGAAATTTCCACGATACTTGATGAACACAAACTAATCCTCTTCTGACACGAAACTGTACTAAACTAATGTTGAAAAGAATTTACTACATATTTTTGTCCCTCATAAAAAAGTGCTTATATTCAAACTTGTATTGTGTTCATTGCAGATAATGTAAAAACAAGGAATTTAGTTTTTTTTTAATAACGCATTTGTTTATGGAGCAATGAAGTATGAATTCGTTTTCTAAAGGTATTTAGGTAGACATTCATATTTGTCTATATACTTTTGTCCATTACTGTATATTATCGAACTCGATATCAAACATCACCGCTCGGATTTTGAAGAAATCTCCACACAATGTTGCTACTTTGATAGGGACGAAAAAGCTTTGTAGTTTTTTGAAATCGGTCCAGTCTCGGCGGAGAAAAAAGCCCCAAATCTTGATCTTAGTATATTTATACTCTCAAAACCCCAGTAAATCTTTGCATCTATTTACCCGTACTTGACTTTAAAACTTAAAATGTTAGGGAAATGATTTTGTTACGCGTATTCCTGCTATCTAAACTCACCGCCCGGCGCATCGGTCCGGCAGAATAACCTATCCATACTGCAGGGCAAAAAATATATACAGCGGCCATGCAGGAAATGAACGATGACTAGCTGCGGCGACGCCGCGCAGATGTGGAAATTGGCGACGTTGCCAGATGGACAGTAACTACCGGTAGGGCAGGGAAAGGATGTCAATGTATTAATTGTATGGACCTGTTTGACTGACTTTATCAGTTTAATTTCTTTGTTGTACATGTTCGCAGCTGACTTTTTCCTCAAAGGATTTAAAGTATGCTGAACTTAATTCTTTGCGAACTGATAGCGGCGTTGCATAGAAAGTGCAGAGTCATTTTTAACGACTATGTATATATCTACTAGAAAATGCTAGTTGAAAATACATCTCGCAATTGTAGACCAACTCACTTTACTACCAGGACATTTTTACGTGCGAATATTCCAAAAATAAAACATTGTTATCCATTTTCGAAACTTGGTTCGGTGTTGGTCCTATAAATATAAATTCACATCTTTGCATCATTTCGGGCTTGTTCTTCCAGTATCAGAGAAACGTTTCTAACTATGGCTGAACATACCTTTTTATAACAAAATCTAATGAAAATAATGATGTTTAACCTTCCCCAAAAATAACGAATGCCATGTTAGTCCACCATTATCAATTTAAGTACGCCATTATAACTATAAATTCATAATTTTGCATCTAAATGGAGATTAAATGAGTCGTAGCGGAAACCATATATGTTGTTTTGAATTAATCGACGACCAATTTCATATAATTTTACATCCTTGATACAATAAAGCAGCATTTTTGGTCTTCACTTCTCAGAACTAACAGGTATATCGTGCAATGTATCAATGACATATTTAATATGAAATACAGTGATTCAAAAATAGCCTATAAGCTTTCTAAAAGAAACCAGTATTCTACTTTTGCCTGTAACCGCCCAAAAAAAATAAGGAATATGAGTATTTTGAAAGGAAAAAATTGTGTCTAGTACGCTGACTCTGTACTTTCCAAGCAACGCAGTCCGGCCCAATTTATATCCTCTGACAAAACAGTTGGCTAGTCAGTCAAACAGGCCGATATAATTAACAATTCATCAAGTCAAGTAGCTTGACTATTTTAGAAAATTCTTGACTCGAGAATAAAATTGCTTGAAACATTAGTACTTGACTTGATTTTTTTTATTGTTCTACTTGACTTGAGTTCAAGCGTTTCCAAACTTGATACTTAATGGTAAATTATATTTTTGTTCTAGTTAAGGCCTTCAGTGACATTTGTCTGTACAACCGATGAAGCGTATTTTGTATTTTAATGCAAATAATCACGAGTGATAAAAAAGTCACGAAAATCCCAAACCCAAACCCCTTTTAATGGTTAGATATTTCTTATCGACTTAGATCGGGACTATATGGAAGATGATCCAATAATTCCACGTTTTCTTCCGTTAAATACTGCCTTGTTTTTTGGGCTGTGTGCGAGCTTGCATTGTCTTGGTGGAGGATGATTCTTCTTTCGTGGTTGATTTTTCGAAGCTCGGGGATGACTTTTGGCAAACAAATGGTGGTATACTAATCCGCAGTAACAGTTCTTTGCTCATTAAGAGGAATTGTTGCAATGTGACCCGCTTTTGACACAAATGTCGCGACCATCTTTTTCGAAACACTTCGAGAACGGATGACTTTTGTTGGCTTTTCTTCACCTTGGAACACCCAAACAGCCGACTGTCGTGTATTTTCTGGTTCATAACAGTAAATCCACGATTCATCACCACTAACAATGCTGTACACATTTTTTGAGTTTCCGGAATTGAAACGGTCAAGCGTTTTATGACACAAATTATACTAAGTGACATATAAATCCGAACACCCAGTTTAAATGGTTTTATTTTAATAAAATTTTGTATAAGTACTTAATGAAGCATAATAAGTAAATGATAAAAATTTCAAAATGATTGCACTGCTTTAAAGCCCTTTGACCTTTAATAATGTGTGGCTGCACCCTGATGTGCTATGCATTCTCCAACGCGCCTAGGCATGCTTCTGATCAGGTGGTCGATGTCCTCCTGTGGTATCTCATTCCAGGCAACCACCAACTCCTCTCGAAGTGCTTCTAGAGTCTGAGGACGACGTTGCAAATTGAAC